CTGTGCCATGGAAGGTGGGGTGTAGTGCATCATGTGAACACCTTAACCCAAGGTTAAGTTGCTTAACTCAGGGTTCCTCAACCTTGGCGACTTGAAGATGTGTGGACTTCAACTCCCAAAAATCCCCCGCCAGCCCGGGGGAATTCTGGGAGTTGAAGTCCACACATCTTCAAGTCGCCAAGGTTGAGGAACCCTGAGTTAAGCAACTTAACCTTGGGTTAAGGTGTTCACATGATGCACTACACCCCACCTTCCATGGCACAGTTAAGCCTGTTGTATGAACAGCCCCAACAAGGTTGAACTGTCTGCAAAATGTCTCAGGAACCCTAATCCAAGAAGACTCTCCTTGTAGGCTTTGAAGTCTAGCCTGGATTCTTACATTCTCCCAGGCCCAGCAGGATAAGAGAGGCAATGCCAGTCAGGGTCGTGGTGAGGAGCAGAATCCCACGACGTCCATACCGGTCTACGGTGAGGCACAGAAAGAGGCAACTGAGACCCGCACTGCCAGCCGACAACAGGAAGGGGAGGTAGAACTTGGCACGTGGATCCTCCAGGGATTTCCAGGCCAGCTGGTAACAGTGGCAGATAGCGTGGGCTATGAATCTGGGAGGACACCAAGGGAGAAACCATGCTGGTTTAGCTTATGTGCTTAGGGTCTCAAAAGCACAAGAACAAACAAGGACACCCAACACACAATGAAAGTGGGATGAAGAAACTCATCATCTCAACAGAACCATCAGTAATAAGACGCCAAACTAAACCACAGCTTTGAACATCAGAACATAACAGGTGACACCTGAAAGTCAAATTGAAGTTTGTCCTTACCCTAAATTTATCTTCTCCAACAGGAGAAAAATGGTCCTGTTCTACATGTGGTTATTTGGCTTGGCATCAGACTCTAAATATGCACATTTCAAACCAAGAGCTCCCTAAACATGTGTGCTGGTATCTTGTCTCCTCTACTAAGTTCCCCCACCTTGATTTTCAGTTCCTTCTCCCTCTAAGAGTTTATATACCTCTCTCCCGCCCCCAATTCTACCTCGTCATTCCTGAAATCCTCATATGATCTAGTAGCATACAAAGGTCAACTCACGTGGTAAAACCAAGGATCAGAATGTTTTTCCAGATGTTTCTGCAGGACAGGAGGGCATGGAGTGAGATCTGAGCAGCTGCAGGGAGGTGACAAGCATTGTCCAGCTCTTCATGGGTGGCGAAGATGGAGTGACCAAATCAGATTGGGGAGGAAGGAGAAAAGAACTCCATCAATGGAGACATCATCATACAATCCTTGACACATCCTTGTGTCAGGCTGGAGGAAGACAGAGGGGATCCAATACTCTAGACCAGGGTTTCTCCATCTCAGCAGCTTTAAGAGGTGTGGACTTCAATTCCATTCTGGGAGTTGAAGTCCACACATCTTAAAGCTACCGAGGTTGAGAAACCCTGCTCTAGAGCAGTGGTCCTGCTTGACCCTGTTACCCCTTTCCCCACTCCCGAATAATATCATTATCCCCACAAAAAAACCAGGTTGTTGTTTACACAAGCATCTCGGCAGCGGCATATGCCCAAATGACCCCCCATTTAAGAACTGCTGCTCTAGGGTAACGCTGTAATGCCTAGTCAACCAGCTGGGATTAAGGGGTTTTTGGCCAGCTCCAAAACTCACCCTCCAGCGCCTCCCGGGTCTCGGATTCCTGGGTGTTACCGTCCTGGCACAGGGTTAACAAGACATCCTTGGCTTGAGCTGTTCGACGTGTGGCCAGGAGCCAACGGGGTGACTCGGGGTACAGTCCTGGGCAGCTAGTGAGGGAGGAAGGAAGGGAGGAAAGGAGGGAGGAATTTTAAAAATAAAGGAAGGGAAGTGAAAGAAGGAAAAGGAAAGGGGGGAGGGAGGGAGGAAGGAAGGAAGAAAGGGAGGGAGGGAGGGAGGGAGGGAGGGAGGGAAGGAGAAATTTTAAAAACGAAGGGAAAGAGGGAAAGGAGGGAGGGAGAAAGGG